CGGGGCTCCTGCCGCCAGGCTTCAAACTCCAGTAACCAGGTTGCTGCACCCCACTTACCTATACAGTCAAAACAATACTTACCATACTAATAATGCATGTAAATGCTTCCTATATCATAAAAAATATACTCCAAGCGTATATACTCAAACTACGCTACTTACCTTTGCCCAACACACACACTTTTAAAACCTTCTAACGTAGGATATGAACTTGTAAAATAATATTTTATTTTTTTGGAAAATGTACAGGTTTGACCAGCAGTTAAGATCTATATATTATACAGTGAGCCAGGCTACAGTTTTGAATGCGACAGCCATATTCTGGAATAAAGATTTAGGTCTTACAGTTGAAATGGCAATACAAGAAAGAAAGGAAACAATAAGTTTTATTTTTCTTGTGTTTTTTAAAGTGAACAGGATCTTGTTGATGACCAAAGTAGTACTGAGAAAAAAAAATCTGAATGACAGTTTTTTCCAAGTGGTACAAACACACAGGAACAGCCTATTTTAATGTAATATAAAATACTGCAGTCCCATTTTTTTCCACTTCTGGATCATTGAAGTTAACGATCAAATGCTCTGTCAAAACTTCGTTTCTGGCCTCTGCTTCTGAATCTGTTTCTACCAGAGCTACCACGCCGCCCATTCCTGGAGCTCGAGAAGCTTCGGCCATTTCCTCCACCTCCTCCTCCTCGTTGTGATTCTACTAACTCAGGTAATTCAGTCGCCACGCACAAACGCCATTGTTTTGAATCTTCCCATCTTGCCTATTGAAATAAAGTCAGACATATTAAGTTAAATTCTAGGAATGCATACACAGGGTATTTCATAATTACTAAATTTGCTCAATTGAAAAGTGAGCTAATATAGTTAGAAACTTGAATCCCCTAAAGTGGTCAATACTGGTTTCAAAATTTTAAGCTTAAGAGCTACAGCTGTCTGAGTACACCTCAGATACTACAGAACAGAACTGAAACCCACCTTAGAGCTTTACAGAGCAGCATCATCAGTAAACTCTTTCCCCACCTTTCATTTATTAAGAATAGCACTATAATTATTACTGATCACAAATCCACACCCTCCCCTCAATTCCCCTCTAATCCAGAACCAAACATTGTTTTAGGAGTGAATTAATGCCAGGGCATGAGGGTATGGAGGTGCACTAAGGGAGGAATACCTGAAGGAAAGATTGGAAGTCTAGGGAAATTTGGCATGGGAATACTAATTCTACCAAGCAAAAACCTGGAATTCACTTTTCTGTGGAGGGAATTCTGGATAAAAAGAAGCAAGGAGGGGGAATGGAAAAAAAAGGATTTTATAGTATAACAAGACTCGTTGCCTACAAAGATTAATCCAGCAGCAGTAACAAGGGGTGGATTGTTCACACCACCATTCTCAGTGCAAAAGTCTCAAGCTACAGACCTTTGGAGACAGGGGAATACTTTCGGAAAGGAACACTGTATGCTTGTTCTGTTCTTCAGTTCCTTCGAAGCCATCCCTTTTGCCACCAGAAAAGGCAGGATACAGGCTACATAATGTTTTCTGCCTAACCCAGTCCAGCCAGTTTTATTTACAGTTTGCTGTAACCAGAAATTTCAATGAACCTACCTCTATTTCCTTTTGGTCTGCTGCAGGAACATCAAAGCACACACCCTAAAAAGAGAGAATAATTTTAATGGATACAAGTCTAGCCTTTTAACTGACTGCAACTGAAAAAAAAAAAAAATAGAGCCTACAAATCTATGTACTAGAACAAAGTTTTACATTTCAAAGTGTTTTAATAGAGACTTAAGATACTTCAAAATCTTTGAACGTTGAGAGAATCAATATTTCTCAAAACACCAGTATTTGCACTTCCTTAATGTTTTCCTTAGATACACACATTTTTCTTTCCTCTGCATAGCCAGTACTTACAATTCACATTTTCTTGCTCTTTAACAATAAGCTTATAACTCTCTAAACTGTGGTCTATTGGCTCCTGCATTACTCATTTTGTAAATTCTTTCAAATCAGAAGTTTTAATCTATACTAAGAAATGTATACATCCAGTAAACTGAATATTTAGGTTCAGACAAAAAATCTGAAGTTAAACTACTTGAATGATTAAGTACAATACCTAATTTGCATGTTAAAATACTATTCTTTGTCTGAATGAACAATCTGGATATTGAGAATTACTAATCTGATGTAGGAAAAACCATCCATAGTGTTTTGCACATCAAATACAGAACAATGCTGTGAATAGAGAGACAATAAAACAAGGACAATAAAACAAATCTTACCAATTAGCGCAGTATCAAATATCATGCGTGAAGGACGCATTAAGAAAAAAATTTCAGAGATGGAAATAGCAAAAATAGTTCACTGACATAAAGAAGTGTCCTCAAGTCAAATTTAAAATCAGAAGTGTCTGGCCAAGAAACCTTGTGAACTACGTGTGAAATTCATACAGCAAGACATGAAGGTTAACTTTTACACAAAGATAGAATGTAGAAGGGAATACACACAGCACCTAAGACAAGAATTGTTTTCATTAAAAAATTAAAAAAAAAAAAAAATCTTTAAACTGTTACTCAAGTGTAGGTTGTCCCTTGTTTTAGGCTTTCTAGTGTACCAAGTCTGGGTATCCTCAGTATTAGCATATAGATGTGCTGTGATTTTGATGATCTGCTAAACTAGGTGCCATCAACACCTGCCATTTTTACATGTCTCTCCTTTTGGTACTTCCAAAAGGCACCTGTTCCACCTGCACTCATACCAATCTTAATGCTTCTTTTCCAAATCTCTACATAAAACCTCATTCAACGGCTGCCTCTGAACTGTCCTCTCAAGTCGTCTTCAGTTTTGGGGTCTTTTTAGTTTGTCTGCTGTTCTCCCCATCCCACACCACCTTAAACCACACAAAAACAGGGAAACACAAACTGAATCATTCTCTGTAACACGTGGTATATGGTGTCTGTGATGGAAACTTCAACATGGATATGAAGTATGCATGGAAATGTAGGTGTGTGAAAGCACCGGAAATATAACAGCAGAAGAAGGGATAAGAGAATGGCATGTGTTGACAGCATGCAAATTAAGTCATCAAGATCAAAGCACCTCTCTGTTCTGTTTTATTGATCAGGGTATGTTGAGAAACAAGAAATATACCCAGAAAAATACAAAGATGAAGCAAATCAGCAATAATGCCTAACAACTCGCAAAAGCAGGACATAAGCATTCCTTGTCCTCTGTGTCACCACAAATAATCCTGGACATACTATTTGATCACATATTTTCATGTTTGTGAAAATGCATACAAATTCTGAGACAAGAAGAGTGAGAGGAATCACTTTGTTTAAAATAACTGTCTCTCAGTGAGCTTTGCTACAGTTGTTGCAACATTGTTAAGTATGCAACCCAAAAAGTAACTTTCTGATCTTTCAGTTTCAGGTACCAGAAATATGACGAACATGCACTATCAGAACTGACTGTCCTAAGAAATCCTGTTCTATGTTTTGTCACTAAGGCACAGTTAGTACCGTTCGTACCTTTTACCTGTTCTGCTATCCCTATAGCCATGCTATATACTGCATTATATTACCTCCTTAGCATGTCAGTGGAGTAGAGCCCTAAGCCCCTGAGATGCTTAAGCCCTAATAAAACAGATTGAGGCCCATCCTTCTACCAGTCACGTGCTTATCAACAGAGCCTGGAACAGGGAAAAAGACCAAATATCTCCCCTGACAACTGCTGAGAAAAGGCTACAGCCAGAAGAGCTCAGGAGCAAAGATACAAAAAAAGCTTACCATTTTTCCCTTGAGGAAACACATTCTGTTCACCTTCCTATCAACATCATCACCCAACAGTTCTCGCAGTCTTCGCCAAGCATAGCTCATATTGTTTATTTCTTCAGAGCAGCGTAGTATCATTGTAACAAATCCCTAAAGAGTAAGAAATGGGACATGCTCCATTCAGTCAGAGGAATAAGCTTCAGCACATCTATCAGACATGAGAAACCTGCTAACTTACAGTTTAGAAAACTTGGTTTTCAAGTGGATACTGTTATGGGGGAGCAAGTATATTTATAGCCACTATATTCTTGCTTTTAACCAAATCAGTAGTTCCTAGTGGCTTAAGTACAGTTCCCACAAACAAAATCATAAGGAGACAAATAATTCTCTATTTAAACAACACAGAGGTCTGTTGGGTTTTTTTCAGATTCAAGACAAACGTTAAGCCATACACCCTTACCGCATCTGAGTTCAGCAGGGAGCGCTGTTCAATGGAAGTAGCGCCTGAAATATGGGCTAGAGCTGCAGCCAGAGCATTAACTGGTCCCTTTTCTTGTATTAGGAACTGAGCAGATTCTTTGAAATATTCGATAGCAGTTTGAGGAACAGAATCCAGACACCTGAGTAATTAAAGAAAAAAAAAAAAATTATACACTAGTATTTACTAGGCTCTGGAATAGAAGAAAAACAGCAGCCCAAGACTTTAATAGTGATCAGTTCAGAGAGACAGCAAAGAGCAATCCAAACAGCCCTTCTGAACTAGGAAGACAGGAAGATACAACAGGGCTTGAGTCACCAAACACACCTGATGGCATCTTTGCTGGAAGCCTTTATGATATCTGTCGCAGTAGGAACACCAACACGCTTGAATGTAATGCCCTGAAATTTAAAAAGCAAAATACAGATGAAAGTTGCAGACCATAAATAATTCAGTTCTAAAGAAACAGTATTGGACTCCAATGAAACAAGCATTTAAATCTATCATTTTTCTTTTTCTTTTCACTCCCAACTTCTGCTAGTGAAAATTACAAGGTTAAGCTTACAGGGAAATGGGTAACAGTTAAAAGCCTTTTATGTACCAGGTCAGTTTAAATGATCCAGTGACCTTAAACTGAAATAAATAGAGAACATTTTGGCGGATTCCAGGGGAAAAAAAAAAGTCCTACAAATTCTAAATTATTAATTTTAGTCTGATTTACTTGGATTTAAGTACAACTTACACAGCCTTTCTAAATGTAAGTTTTTTTACGTGCTGAGACTAAACCATCCCATCCCAACTGAATACTTAATTGGTGAGAAAACCACCATATGGAACAGTGCATAAAGTGCAAAAATGGAAGTAACGGCTCTCAGTAAAGCTACACATACGCAAATCACCAATCAGACGATACGCCAGGGTGAACACTAAACTGAAATCCTGCTAGCTTTTTCTCATTTCCACAGGTACAATCTTACTGTCAATTGCTGAAAAAGCGTGGTGTATCTGCAGCACACTCCCTGCTCCACAATAACTGACAGTGCACCCAAACTCTGCAAGGTAACTGAACCTCAACTGGGTGCTAAAGCACCAGATATATAAGCTATATCCTGTAATTGAACTATTGAACAAAACATGAAGATTCTACATGCTACTCTAACACATTACATTTGAGTGCTCGTGATTAGAAGAAAACTATACTTTACCGCTTTTTGTTCCACGTATCTTAACTGATGTTCTTCCTTTCGCTGATAAAAACAGATACAGATCCCAGTCCGTCCAGCTCGACCTGTGCGTCCAGAACGATGAATATAGGACTCCACATCCTTCAAAATAAATAGCCTTATGACATATCTAATTTATGGTAATTTAATCAATTCATTGCAGTCATGTAACTTAGTACAAGCTATTACAGTTAAGCCTGAACAATACACAGTAACTGCATCAGAGAATTAAATTAAAAAACATTGTTTCACTAAAGTCAAACGAATAAGCTTTTCCATAACCCTCTAAAAATCACGGTTCAAAAGCCAGAACCATGAGCATGGATCAACTAAGTCTTGTTTTGGCATCACCACAGGGAATATGAGAAAACATTTTGAGTGTGTATATGTAACAATCCCACTCACCCTCCTGCACATCAATGTGAGCATGGTTACTGAGATACTAATAGCAAATTCACTGAAAAATGATCTTGTTTCTTTTAAACCCTCTTAACTTCAGACAATATTCTCACTGTTGGGGTCCCCTCCTCATATATGCCCCTACTTAGTAAATCGTTCTTGCAAGACAAACAGCCTTTCTTTAATTCCCACTGCTTCCAGACTTGCAATCACCATACATGGCCTTGAAGGGAGAGGCTTTGAACAGCTTTAAAAGAAGGCATTTTAAGGAGACCATCTTTAAACATACTAGGGACTGACGCTCTCTGAAAAAATCCTCTAAGAAACTACTTCTATATATATGGACATTTCTTACCCTTAAATGCAATGCTGATTACCACACAGAGTTTAACACCATCACCTGATAGCATATACTACTTGAAAACGAGACTACAAATTATTACAAGACACCCAACATAACCATCTCCTACCTTTGGTGGTGAACTTTGTACAACCAGGTCAACTTCAGGGATATCTAAACCACGGGCAGCTACGTTGGTTGCAACCAGAACTTTAAATGTACCATTTCTAAAACCTTTCAGTGTGATCTCTCTTTGCTTCTGAGGAATGTCACCATGCAACGACTGGCAATCCTGAAAAACAGTATTATTATAGGACTGTACCAAAATCCAAGACAGTACTCCACTTTATGGTCAGTTTTAGGTACAATATCTTGGTATTTGATAGATACTGTATGGCAAGATACAGAAGAACTGAATTACCAGAGTTTATATTTTAGGTGTCTTACAGTATTTACTCAGTACTTCTTATTCATATACATCAAAGACCTTTAGCAAAGGCAGGAAAACATTATCGCAACGTGTCTCATCTCCACCTCTAATTACTGTGACCTATGAAAACGGCTGTGCCCTAACTTGCCATTCACACCATCTATGCAAGGCTTAGCTGTTTCAAAATAGTCAACAATTTTCTCAGGCCTTCTCAGTATTCATTTATACATCTTTTCCAAAATAGTGTTGCTTCTTAATCCCTCTTAATATATTAATTTCCCCCACTACCAATTACAGGATTAAAATATAAGTGGTTCTAAAAAAAAATATCTACAGCTTCAAAGATAATTTTGTTCTAATCCGAACATTCTGAAAGTCCTTCTGTATCACAGCAATAACAAGTATGAAGACCAAACATACAAACATTGTTTTTTCCTCCACGTTTCACAGCTTGCCTGTAGATGGCTAGCATGTTTTCCACATGTAAACAGAGCATGATTTGAAAAAAATACTAACACAATGCTAGGGTCAGCACAGACCTCTCTTTTCAGACAGTTTTGGATTAATGTCAGCTGGTAAATGGAATAGGCATATATTCTGTTAGCGAGTATTAATATGCTAAAACAGAAACATCCAAGTTATTTCCTTCTCTTACCTGCCAAGATCAGAGTTCTGCATTGCCTATGCAAGATTTGATATCACTAACACCACCAGTAACGTAGGATAAGGCTCCACGCTCAGGTTTAGCTGTTACTGAGGTCATCTAGGAGTGTGGGAGAAACACTCCTGAACACAGTTGTGGCAGATGAAAAAGCTTCTCCTTTCCCTAGGAACATAATGCTATACTGCTTTCTAGACATAACTTAACCCATCTCCTCAATGAAAACACATACAGAAAAAGTAGTTGCTGTGATACCACCACCAAAACTGAGCATGCAGTGCCAGTGTTGCTACACATCATAAACATTGCACCACTACATCAACGAGTTATTTTCCACCAGTGCTAGAGAGTGCCATACCACAAATCCCAGGAATACACTAGACGTCATTCACAAGAGATGGCTAATTGAATTCTTTCTGTGTATACATCTTTAAACTCTTCATAACAGCTAATAAACTTCTTAATGAAAATACAAATATAGCCTCTGTTGTATTACAGCTCTAAACCCTAATTGCTCCCCCCAACAACACTAATTACTGTCAGCATCACAGCTCAGTAACTGCTATTCCAGTACCATGACCTGTTATCCTAGTAGTTCTCTAAGTCTACCACCATTTTTTTAATCCAACAGTCCTCTCGACAGAAAAATTAATTCACAGCTGCTTCATTTAATGTCAATGAGAACTCTTCTTTTAAGAAAAAAATCCTTTGTAGCCCAGTATCTGTTAGTGCAGCCTAGTCCTGAAGACTATAATGCTGTAAACTTTCAACCAGTTTGTTGGGTTTTTTTAAAGGTTCTCTTTGGCAGTTTTGAAACTATCTGACCACCTGCAAAAGCCTGCCTTATCCACTTCGAAAGTCTCTCTTTAAAACTTATTCAGCATAGGTCTGGTATCAACATAGGGTTGATACATCTCTGACAGGTTTTGTTACTTAATCAGATGATAAAATACCTGTTTGATTGAAGCATTCAGAGCCAGTTCATTTGCCTCCTTTTTGGTCTCACAAAAGACGATGGTCCTCCCGTGGCTGCCACTGTAGACCTGAATGACATCTCCAATAACCGCAGCTCTCTGAGACCAGTGACACTCTATTGCCAAATGCTATGGAAAAGAATTCCAGTGTTTAGCTTAGATAAAAACACAAAGATTCTTTTTGAAACTGTAAAATCCAGAAATACTAAAGAGTTATACAGTTTCCTGATGGGCAAAATATGCTAACTCACGTTCCTGGCATATGCAAAATCCATAAGGCTCTTATGTCCACCACAATTAGTCTAACATTAAGCAAAATAATTACGGTAAGAGGAAAAAAAGATGACAGTCTACAAATCACTTTTTTAAAGCAAGGAAAGAAAACAGGAGATGTTATACCATTTCTCTGGAGGACAGTTAGGGGTGCAAGATTTTGTCACAGTTGTATCAACTAAAGCTTTGTGTAACATAAAGTGAAACAAATAAATATAGCGTGTTAAAAGCTTTTTTCAAGCACAAGATTAACATTCTTTCAATCCCACTGATACAATTATGATGTATCATAACTGTCCAACTGATCTGTCAAAGTAACTGCTAAGCAGTACTTAAGCAGAAACAATATCTTATTTTACCAAATAAAGATAATTCAGGCTTCTAGCATATATGTATTGTATTCCTTGCTATGGTATTTACTGCATAGCAAGCAAAGGCCTAGTGAGGTGAGATACCACAGGAAGTTTGAAAAAGTCTCCTGTATACAGAATAGCAGAATTTGACTGTGATGTCCATGGTGATCTAAAAGAGCCAGGCTGATGTTAATGCGTGCCTTTTGCTTCCAACTTGGAAAAATTCAGATACTGCTTTTCTCTGAAAACCAAAAAACTGATAACTGAATCCTCACTCTACCCAAGATGTCTATATGGTTACCGGATGCTGTGAGAAGAGACAGATCCTAAAGCTAGAAACAGTTTGACTAGCTGTAATGTGCCTTATGCTTCAAAAAATAATTCTCAAAACAACTTTCAACATCATTCTGATAATGTACCCTAGGATGGGATGACCATTTGTAGCATAAAGGAAAAGGGAAAAGGCCCCAAAACATTCCACATTAGATAGATTACTCACTTCTACTGTTGTAGCAGCTTTTTGAGTTCTTTTTCCAATAAGGTCAATCTGTTCGTATCTAGACTTCATGTATTTCTTAGCCACATCATACACCCAATGTGGGCAAGTTGCAGAAAACAGTAGCGTCTGGGGATTGTCTTCAGAATCTTAAAACACAACGTTTCACAAACTTCATATGTTCCATCTTACAGATGTATACAAGTTGATTATATGGGTTATTAAAAATATGAGGTCAAATATCAGTATATAAAATAAAGAAGGCAATTCTGCTTTTTAAATTTATGCATTACCAACATCTGGAGAAAAAAATACTCTAGAAAGTCTAAATATTTTCAAGACTAAGAAAAAAGTTACTATGACCAAAAATCCAGTCTATTTTCAAGCAGTGAAAAGGGTAAAAAGCTTCTAATTCTTTTTAACTGGAAGAAGCCCAAGTACAACTTATAGATAGGTGTCAAAAAGTTATTTACAGATCCCTAGGTACCAGATTTTAAGCTTTGCAAAGGTTCTGTGAATGATTCCCACTTTCACAACACTTCCTCATGTACTGCGTTCACAGTACATTTCCTACAATATATACTATTCAGTCATTTCTAAACAAAGCTACCTTGCAACTTTCAGAAAAATATACCTGAATTTTAGCAGACTAAATTATTACTGATGTTTCCTACTATTTGTTTAAATATTGAGATTACCCTTCTTGTATGCAACTCGTAAAATGTCTTCCACTTGCTCAGCAAATCCCATGTCCAGCATCTGGTCAACTTCATCAAGTACAACATGTTTCACCTTGGTAAGGTCCAGCTTGCCATTCTGAAGATGGTCTTTGATTCGACCAGGTGTCCCAACCAAAATGTCAATGCCGCTTCTCATGAGATCAACTGATGAACAGGAAAGAGCAGAAGAGGAGTTAGCAGTGAACTAGGGAGCGTTCTCTACATTAGAAACACATGGTAGCTAAGTAATAATGACACAGCTTCTTAAACCATTTATAAGTACTCTCCTTACAAATGTAAGTGAGAACAAATGATGACCAGGAGGAGAAAACTTGGGGGGGGGGCTGGAAACTGGTAAGGTGTAAGTTCTACTGCTCTTCCTGAAGGAAAAAAGATTTCCCATCTCCCTTCTCTCTCCCCGTGATTTAAATAAAGTGGCAAACCAAGAGCTTCTTTTAACACGCTTTGGAAATACTTAGCTCTTCCCAAATTGTCTACCTTAATTGCAAACTTAAAACCCCCCTTTATATATTTGACTATCCCAATTACTGAAATCACCTCCTTCCTGAAGTTGTGCAGGAAAAAAAAAATTCATCCCTAATGTCTCAAGATATATTATGACGAAAGAGCCTAATCTCATTCCTGCTCTCATTTGCCTTGTTTACAACCATCAAGGCAGTAAATTATGCTGTCACAATAAAGAAGTTCTTCTACACTTTACAAACCCTCTAGATATCCCATATCACACAAAAAACCCCACACCCACTCACAGCTCTAAGACTAAACATTTTTTAAAGAAAATAGAAATGTTTACAAGAACCTAAACCCAAATACTCTGTATAGATGCAGTATAATCTCTTTCACTTTAAAGTACATGAGTAGACAAGGAACACCAAGAATATAACCGAGACCTACAGTTATTTCGCACCATGAGAAGATATATTCTGAGCTACTGAATTCCCCATGAATACTCTCCAGTTCTTGAGTTAAAAGTGTGTGTTTGGAAGGACCCAACTGCATTTCTCAAACATGTCAGTCAATCGACATTTCAATTATTAGTGATAAGTGTCACTTACTTTGTCCATTATATGGAGTTCCTCCATAAAAACAAGCTACTGTTAGCTTTCTTGTGATGTCCTTGAAATCTTTGGCAACCTGGTTTGCCAGCTCTCTCGTCGGACAAAGAACTAGTACCTAGACAGAAGAAAGACAAACAGATGTTCTCTTAGCGTGGCTTCTGCCAAGAAACCACTAGACTTTTAATCATTAGTTTAGGTCTGACCGTTTACATAATTTAAAAAAAAAAATCTGGTTTAAATAGTTATTTAAGTAAAGATTAGAGAAACACACTGCTTAAGTCTCTTGTAACATAATTAATCTCCTTCAGCACAGGACAGGCTAACTTCTTTTTAAATCGGATACACAGGAGGTACTTAAATCTTATTTAACTTTCACTCTTGAACAGATCAGCTACAAGTTTTCTTCTACATGCACATACGCTGTTTGAGTACAAGACTGAAGGATTTGGGTAATAAAAGGTTTTTACACATGCTCGGTAATGCTTCACACTCCTGCGAGAAGGTGTAAGAAAGAGCTATCAACTGTCTCTCAGCTTCCCTGTGACTCAGGGAAACATACGTTCAGTCTGCAAAGCTGGTGTTCAGCATGGTTCTGGAGCCTGTGCTGATACCCCCACAGAAGCAACCAAGGAACCATCCTCTCTTCCAATATACAGGCTTCACAGCAGGTGATGGACAAGCTACTAGCTAGGAGTTTTAACTAATTTAGTTCAATGTGTGATTGCAGTACTGGTCTCAAACCTGGCATCAGTGGCTTGACAAAAGGAACCTTAAAATCCTTATCCTGTTACTTCTTTCAACATTGAAACACGTTACAAAAAAAGAAAGTAGTAGTGTACTATGGTAGACTGAGGCCTGAAATCTTTTTTATTTTAAGACTTGTGACTCCCTCAGAGTAAGCTTTCCCTTCTCCGCAAGACTGTGCCAAATCTAGAGTCAGCATTCTCAGTCAGCCAGCCAGCATGATGGGCACATGCAAATAAAACAGCTAGTACTAGTTTTGGAATGAGTTTCAGGTAATCTATGAGATGGGTGACAAGATGAAATAAACTGACAAAAAAAAATTCCACTATTAATGGGGACATGGTAAGCTTTGGCCTATCTAGTTTTGGAGGACATCATAAGAATTTGGTAAAAAAATGTAAGTGGTATTCCCTAGCAGAATGCAGACAGCTCATAACGAATCTGCGTTCTCTGGAGCAGAAGCTTCAATATCTGGTGGTGGTGGTCCTAGTGAAAACTAAGTCTATTTTTAAAACCTCCCACTATTTTCATGTTTAGACACATTTAAGTAGACAGCTTTTATCAATCAGAAAGTCACTAATGCGTTACTAATTTGGGAGAAAAACAAGCATCCAGTAACCAATGGACCTGAACAGGTAAGGTGACTGAACAAAATTAAATAGGAACATGTTGAACATGTGTAGTTTCAGTCTCCCTGTAAGCAGAAAAAGGAATTGACAAGTGGATAGAGCTATTTTGCTCTTTACTCTTGATCAGAGGGTATGAGGCAGCACAGGATGCAAAGCCCAACAAACACAACTTTCAAAGAATCTTTAATGAGGGTTAGCTTATCCCTGCACAAACTTGAACAACTTTTCCAGTGGGTTAAAACTCTGAATCATTCTGACATAAGACAAAGCAAAATCAGCATTCTAACTAAGCATGGTTACCTTTGGTGAACGGCCTCTTCTTCTTTCCTGTGAGTCTCCCTGAAGCTTTTCAATTAAAGGAATAGCAAAAGAGAATGTTTTCCCTGTTCCAGTTCGTGCTTGAGCAATTACATCTTTGCCAGAATATACTGGGTCGAAGGTCTTCACTTGCACGGGAAACAGGTACGTCACTCCTCGAGCTGTGACAATTTCAACAGACTTCCTTAATACGATCATTCTACAAGTGTTCTTGCATACTCTTCAGAGGAAGTTATCCCAAGCAGAACTTCCATCAACTTTTAAGTAAGTCAGGACTATATTATCACCTCCAGTGATTTATTTAATCACAGAGGTCATCTGTAAAGAGTGCCCTGGGACTGTCCATTTTATTCTCCCACTTCATACCACCAGACATAGCACTAGCTGGTACAGGTGAAGCTAGCAGCCCTTAACAAAAGCCTTTAAGTACTGTGGTTTTATTTATGTAATACTCCCCACCTATCTATGAAAATCTCTTCCTTTCAAATAAAACATATGTCAAAACCACTTCTATTCTTCTCTTAATTCATACTAAGTCAGGCACAACCTAATATCAAAGACACTAAATATAACTGGTTTTCCTTTACTCACACTGAAATAACTTTTAATTGAAAAATTCACACAGAAGAAATTTTTTTTTTTAGCTTATGTCATTTAAAATTCTACTGTAAAGGCTGAACTGGGCAATACTGCAAACAGAAAAGTCTACGTTCAAAGATGTATTTAGAGTAAACAATCAATATGCCTTCTGTGTAGCATACAGAAGGGATATTGATTGCTTGCATACACACAAGCAGAGCACATCTCAAAGCTCATTGATTGAATATGTTGAGCATAAAAACACATGAGAGAGATAATTTACTTTCTGTGATCACATCATGCCAAGAAATTTACCTTGAAGAAGCTGAACAGTCCCTTTGGAAATAGAAAAATTGGAGAAAGCACCCTCTTTCTGTTCTTCAGTCATCTCCTGTTAGGTAAACAATAAATCAGATAACATTCCATTTGAGTATCATATGACCATCAGAAAATTCAAAGTAATGGCATAAGCACTGGTATCATACCCAAGGGTCAAATTTTCAGTGACAGTATCACAGCTGCAGCTAAAGAGCCTACTCACTATCATATTTCAAAACTTAGACAAAAGTGATCTGTAATTTAAATTGAGACTGTTTCATATCTAATAGCATAACCATGTAAATGCAAAACACCCAAATTAAAAGTCTGAAAACTCTTAACTAAATTTTAACATTCTATTTTAAATAATACCAATGGCCTAACAGATTATGTTGTAATATGCAAGAATCAGGCTTGATATCTAGCCTATTTCTACTTCCCAATTAATACAGCACAGTGATTTAGAGATACAGACATCAATCCCCAAGAGAATAACATTACGAGGTAGAGCATCAAACGTACCTACTTAGTAATGCGTCACTTCCATATACGTTTTAACAGCACTGTGATTAAAATGCTAAGCATGAGGAAAGAATGCTAAGCCTGGAAACCATGGAAACCCTGGATGCTTTGTGAAGCATCAATTGGAACAAGAAACAAAACCAAGCAACAGCAGAACATACAGGTATAAAGACTTTTCAAAACAAATCCTAGGTACAACAAGGTGTTTCCCTTAAAAAAAAATGTGGTTCATGTCAAGCAATTTTAAAGGAACCTAAATCAGATAGAAATAGTCAGACAAAATAAAAACATTCTTACAGAAAGGCTTAAAAAGACTTACAAAACTGCTACAACGTGTTATTTTATTACATTAAGGATGATCTTATCACATTAACAACTACTATTTAATAAGATGATACATAAAAACATATTAATACATAACTTTTCTGTTTCCACTAGCTAAAACCAAATAATTCTTATTTCACTAGAGAAGTACTCATAATACCAAAAAGAAGTCAATTAAACTATATTTGTGGCAATTACAATCATATGTAATGATGCTGAATCATATTAAAGCACCATCTCACTGTAGCGTGTCCATCTGCCAACTGCTACCACAGTACTGGACAGTTGAAGTGAGGAAACCATGGTGTGCTGATCTAGAACTTCAGGACTTTCATAATTTAAGATTTTTGCAAATAATCGACAGAAGGGACAGTTCAAGTAGCTTTAAAACCTGAAAATTTACAGCAGTCTTTCCACTGATGGGGAGAAAAAAAAGGAAAGATAACCTTTTCTAAATTTAACCTTGTTGCAATGCAGGAATTGAAAGCTAAACACATCACTACAACTAAATCAATCATTAGTTTTACCTGCTCTTGCTCACTGTCACCATCACCACTTGACGTTTCACTAGAATTAGTGTGTCGTTTTTTGTGGGTGGATTTAACGTTTAAAGAAGATAATCTCGTGTTCTCCGAGCCTTCTTCTCTCACATCACCGTTTTGTTTAACTCCACTCCTTGATTTCTTGAGTTTTGGGGAATCAACGTCATCCTCCGACTGCTCACTTTCATCCGTCTGAGTCTTTCTCCTCTGAGATTTGTCATGGCGTTTAGATTTCTTCTCTTTTTTCTCCTTCTGGTAAGGCACAGAGCAACGCAGCGGTAAATGAAAATACACGCACATGATCCAAGCGACACGAAACAGAGAAGACCTTGCAGAACAGCTAAAACTAAAAGTTTACGTTCTAGTTATTGACTGGGGGGCTCGTATAAAGCAACAGATCCCTCCCTGCCGCGGCGCAGGTGCCGCCAGGAGGCATTTTCCTGACCACGAGACACCCGGGCCTTCATTTTCGGGACTCTCCCCCCCCCCAGCGTGCACCCGAAAGCGC